GTGGACTGGGAAAATTAAATCTTTTAAAATAAAATGCGTCCTTTGATTATTTAACTTTAAAGATTCCAAAATATTGCAAGAGTATGATATTATATTACGAAATAACGTATATCAGAAATAGCGAAAATCTGTCATGAAGAGAGGCAATGCTCTCCATTGCAACCTCTTGTATTGCATAGAATAAATTCAACTAAAATCTAGATAATCGAGAATCTATTAATTTTGTTGGCGGAAAGAAGCAGATTGGGATTATAGAATTTAAGGCAAACTGTGAAACACTTGAAAAGGGAGGGCTAAAATTCGCTCTGATCTTATTGTATCATGTGTTTCTCTCTTTTAGTTATGCCCAGTTTTTCAGTCCTCCCTAATTGATGGATGCATATTGGCGAATATTATTTAAATTTAAATCCTACTCAGTCCATAACTCATGTTAAAGCGTCTGCTTATTTTGTTTCCTCATTTTATTCCATATTTTAGTTTTCAGCTTTCATTTACATATCACCTACTTGGTCCCAATTAGTTTTTCCCCTTTAAGAATGCAATTACTTCATGGCAGATCGATTCCTAGATAAATAAGGTGGATAATTTAAAGTAATTATTGTTTAGATTCTTTACTGATATATGGAACAATAAATTTTTGCATTTCCAATAAATTTGAAGTTATAGGAAATTATGTTGCAAATAATCAAGGGCTCATAAAATATTATAAACTATCGATGTTTACCATTCTAAGATCCATATAATTAATTTCGCGCACCTTGACTAAGTGCGAGGAATCATTAAGTCATGGTTTGTGATAAATCATGTGCGCAAATTTATCATTCTTATGAAGGATCTGGGAAGAGTAAATTTTAAGTGCATTCTAAGAATTCGTTGCTGTAACGATATTATGAAGAGCGTAAAACATCGTGAAAGATTAACGAAAATTATGATTCAATAGTCATACTTCAAAATTGCCTGAGTTATGATAAGATACTTAGTTTCGGTATGAAGATACGTAGTTTATTAGAAGAACTATATACAATGGGAAAGCTGTTAAAAAATGGCTGACATTTTAGCAAAATCAGGCACTAATTCCAGGGAACAATTGAATCTGGTGACCATTGGTTATCAGCTGATGGCTGCTCATACATTCTCGGTATACTACCGCTGATATGACAAGAGTTTAACCTGTTTTATCTGCACATGACTGTGCAAAGATCTGAAACAGCCATAATCATACTCCTTTTATCCAACTGAGGGCCGGATTCCAGATAATAGCACTCATCTACAAAAACCCATTTTAAAGTAGCTGATATGTCCTGAAAATTTAAATATGAAACAAAGATGAAAGAAATATGATAAGCAATCGTGTTGCTAAAGTAATACAAGTAATGTTACCAATAGAAAAACTGGCTAATTACTTGCAAAATCCTCCCATAAAACGGCACACGGCCAGAAATGACTGCAACAAATTTATTATAAATATTTTTATATATCTATCTCATTCATCATTCTCCAAATTTAAAATTACTGTTTACTAAATAAAATATCTCATTTACATCTAGTGGTCCTGTGGAATGTTTGTTCAAAATAGGGAATATTGATTTTGGGGAAAAAACTAGAATGCCTATATACCACGTTTGAAAATAGTTTGTTAAAGTCAAATAGTGGACTAGTGCATGACAACAACCTTCGAAATTTTTTAAATTGCCACTACAAAAACTAGGAAATATTTTAACCTGGTTTTTTTTAGTAGTCTCCTATTTTATGCTAGGCCAAGTTTCTGCAAAATTTATTCTATTTTTATGGAATAATATTTAAAAGATTTATTTTGACAAAAACATTTAAGAATGAAAACAAGTTTATACTCATATTTAAATATTAAATAAAATTAAAAATTTTAAATTATTTCATATTTTGAATAGACCCTTAAACTAACAATATAACATTAAAGGAAAATTTTGCTTTATTTTGGAAACTTTAAAATATTCTCATGTTATTTATATTTATTATTATATCTTCAAAATTTTTATATTTATGATTATATAAGGTTACCTTAAATGCCTAAAATCTCAAACCTTAATATAGATCTTTGAATGAGATATTAATTAGAAAAATATGGATTAAGCATATATTTTAGAAAGGTAAAAAAAAATTACTGATTGCTTTATCCTAACTATTATATCAACTTACCCGAACCCGCTCCGAATAATTAATTTAAGCCTCAGTCTCGCACGATTCGGGCTAACTTGCAGGGCTAGGGAAAATATATGGAGTTCCATGACCTATATAAATGTTAATTTGAGTAAGATGCGATTTTTATATTTTACATGTTGGCGAATGTACGTGACATAATATAAATCTTGTAACAATAATCTTGTATGCAAGGAACAAAGTAATATTGCAAATTTAAATATCAAGTTTTTGTAAACAAGTTATATTTTGAATAACAAAATGTAAGTTGCAAAATAATTAGCAGTATTCGTGAAAGATGTTATTGTTTAAATAAATTATTTTTTAAAAAACGAATAAAAACGATTACATGTTTTATTGGTATAATTAACTTATTTATTTGTAATAAATTTTTCAATTTTAAATTAAAAAACCAATAGTAACGAGGAATTTTGCTAAACATGCCTGAATTCTCGGTTCTTTGGAAAACTCTTAGGCCTAGTTTTTAGCCGAAACCTTCGAGAAAATATAGCTCAAATTTAAAGAAAGCAGAAATAAATTGACTTGTTCCTTAGTACTTTGCATCCCTTTAGCAAGTAGGTGGTATAAAATATCAAAATTTTTAAATTCATCCTTTTCGCTATAAGAAGTATCAAATTTTTAGCGTTTATAAGTTTAAAAAAATTTCCTTCTCTCTGCTAATCTTTGACAAAGAAAAAACATTATTATAAATCATTAACCAAGTTATAGACCATCGAAAAATGACTTTTACGTGATATTATAAAATGTTATAGTATAAATAATATATACTTATATAAATTATTATTATCAGGTTTAATTATCATTTTATTTTGAAGAATGAATTATGTGTTTTTTTAAAAAAAATTTAATCTTATAACTTCTATCTTTAAAAAAATATATTAGGTAAATCGTTGGCCGTTTATTACAAATTTATAATCTAAAGTTATCATCATCTTATATCAAATACCAAAACCATATATTCGCTCAAGACATGTCGGATGGCTCAATAAAATAAATAGTGACGTTCCTTAATTGGATGAAACTTAATTTATTTTTTTAAACTGGTAACTTAAAAGGCACATTCAAGAAAGATAATTCTCGTTAATAATTTCGAGATTCTAGTAATTACCAATTTTTTCAGAGATGGTTCGATACAAGAAAATTTTTACCGAACATTTTTTCTACGATCCGACTAAACTTAATTTAGAATAATTTAAAATTTAACAAGATCTAAATCCGGAAGTCCGGTTCCAATACAATTTAAAAGTAAAGGTGCGTCTCAACCGAGCCAAAAAGAAGGTCACATGATCTATCCGTCTAAAATAATATAATAAATTTTAAAAAGGACCACTCTCATTTTGGAAGATAAAATTTATTATAGATGAAATTTATTTTAAATGTAATTAAATTGTGAGGGCTAAGGTTACCTTGACAATGTTAGACTTTATAAACAGCAATTATTCCTCAAAATTTTGAGGATTTGCAGGCTAAAAGTTTCTTGTATTTAGATAAGAGACTAAATATACAATTTTAGTATAAAATTTTATTTTATTTTTCCTTAGAGTAAACGCTGTCACAAGCAGAGATTTTTTCTCTCAATTATTGTTTCACCGAGCATGGTGGTCAGTAAAATGATTTAGTGGTCGAGTGTCATTGGTCCTCTTATCTGGTCATTGGCCAGTGAAAAAGATAATTCATAGGCATAATCTTATTTACTTAATTTGCATAAATAAAAACTAATAATTTTTTTTAATATTATTTAGGTTTATAAATTTGATTTTTTTAAATTTATAAATTAATAAGAAGATTAATGAAATATAAATAAATACGCTTTTTTTAAAATATAAATAAAAACATGTCCAAAATATTTCTAGCTAATTTTAAAAAATTTAATGCTATTTCATTAAAATTTTCTGAAACGAATTTTTAAAATAGATATTGAGAGCAAACTAAATTTGACTCAGTTCCTAGGATTTCAGAGGTTCTGGTTGAGGCTTCATGAATTAGAGATAAAAAAAATTTAAGTATACCAAAAACCCTCGAAAATGAATCAAACAACCATTCAATGTGCATACTCTTAATAGAATTGATTCCAGTTCCTTTAAATAAATTTTAAGATGGAAAGTTATGGATCCTGTATTTACCCAGTTCTAAGGGTTATGGCTCTGGTGTTTCAAACTATAAAAAAACCCCGTTTTTAAGTAGTAATATTCTAAATAATAATCGTCTTTTTGTATAGTTGAAACTACGCCATTAAACTAGTTTTACAATTGAAGAAAATATTATTTATACTCAAATACATTATAAGTTTTTAAAGTCGTGCAATATATTTTTATACATATTCTTCTATATCTTCATATTTAAAAAAAAAGGATGAATGATCCATTATATTTATTTAATTTATAATCACATAAATAAACATAAATTTATTTAATACAAGAATATAGTCTCGAAGTATCGTCGTATCGTGAGTCCTCGAAATCTCTAATGTTTCTCTTAGAGATCAAGAAATTCATAAAAATTAAAGGTGTGGAGGAGGAAGTGTAGATTATATAAGATTTCTGGAAGATCATAACCAAAACATTTTTTTAATAAAAATAAATTAGTTAATTTTATCACCACATATAGATTAGTGAGGACACTGCTCCATAATTCAAAAGAATTCTTTAAAAAAGTAGTCGGACCCGATCCATTTGGTCGACAAGATAACTAGATTACATTCCATTTAGCTACTAAACTAATTTGAATCAGTCCAGTTTGACATTCAGTAATATTGATAATAACAAATAAGACTCTATTTATTTTAAAAAATGTATTTAATTTACTTGTTTAAATGATTTAACGACATCTCTTGCTCTTGTTCTAAATGCCTCTGACAAACCGTGGAATTCTTCAAAAATATAACAAATTGTAGAGCAATAATGAATAAACGGCGGTAGTGGTAAGTTTCGTTCGAAAATCCTTAAATTTTTAATATGTTCAATTCGGCCTGGTTCCGATGGTTCCAGCTTCCGGTTTCAAGTCAAACATTTATTATATGTTTTTTTTCTAAACAAAAAGAACTAAATATACCTGAATCTTCGAGTTATAAAGGAAAGGGTAATTAGAATTCAGAAGAGAGTCATCGATTAAGTTCCAACTAGTATCTTCATCATCTTGTTGAAGATAATCGGTATTGTTTTGATTAATACTATCATCATAACTTTTCGTACTCCCGAGTGGATGAGAGATTTGACTGACGTAGTTGGGTTTTAAATGCGGGTTGTAATTTGAGTAAGCTCTATCTAAGGTCTCTGAAGCCTGCCTAAAAATTATTTTTTTATACGATATTTGAAGCCAAATGTTTTATTTTCTTTTTTTTCCTCCCAATCTATTTTTTTTATTTTTAACTCAGATCAATTTCTTTTCCATTTTAAAGATAAGGAATGGTTAATGTTAGAACTCAATTTGTTGAATTTAAACGAAGAGGTTTTTTTTGCATTTTTAATGTTTTTTATAATATAATACAAATAAAATCGGTGTTTTCGAGTAGTATCTGTGGCTCGGTCGCTATAGGCGTTGACTGGGGAATAACTTTATATTCCGACCTAGGTACGAATCTGGCAAGAGATGTTTTTTCTCGGAAGGTTAGTCCTTTCTACGGAGAATGAAACAGAGCGAACAAGATATCAATAATATATTTTGTTATTTTCATGGTGAGTTCTAACATCAACCTTAGGGAATTGGAAAATAACTTAGATTAACAAGTCATTCGATTTATCAAAAACTTGAATCAAAGATAACTTGCTAGGAATGTGTATGCTTCAAAGTGATTATTTTTTCAAGGAAAAGTTGCATTCAAATATTTGAGTGAATATATGGCCTGAAAATTGTGGAAAAAAAATCATCAAATCAGCTGTATAATAAATGCTCGGTTTTTTTTAAATTAACCCTTATTTAAAAATTTTGCTTAGCCTGTCAGTTCAATGTTTAAAAATTATTTGATTAATGGGTTTGGTTCTTAATGTATTTTATCTTGATTTTTTTTATTTAAACATATAAAATATGTTATATATTGAAATAAAAAAATAATTTTTAACAAGCCCGTCCTGCTTTCGCCAATAAAATTTTTAAAATTCAGCTGCCCACCCATTATTCTATAAATTTTTAACCCGCTCAATGTTTAAATATTTCGCCATTTCAAATATTTTTCGCTATATTTTGAATATTTCCTACTAACTCATCTAATTTAAATTTATTTTTTTACCCGGCCCGGATCTTTAAAACCATACCAATTTTAGGTTTCGCTCCCGACCTGATATTATTAAAATTCAAGCTAAAATATTATATACATTTATCTTTATTAAAAGGTACCAATTTTTTAAATAATAGCTAATTATATAAAAACAACCTTAAAATTAAAAAATGGCCAAATTTTAGTGCTGTAAACATTTCTAAAAAAATCGAACGCGTTCAGGTTCGCGTCCACTTTCAAAAAAAAGGAACGCGTTTGTTCAAAATTTTATGATAATTTTTTTTTTAAATTTAATTTAATTAAATAAATATCATATATATTTTAACACAATATATTAGCTATGTTAAAAAATAATATAGTTTTATTTTGATAATATAATTATAAATATAATATAATATAGTGAATAAAAAGATATTTTTATTTATAAAAAATTTTTCTTATAAAATTTTAATAACAATTGTTTTTCAAAATTTTCATCTGATAGACAGAACATTTGGCAGTTAATACATTAGCTATACTAAAAACGCGCTCTACAGGGGCAGATAAGAAGATTGCAATATTATACTTAATAAACAACTCTTTTAACGTGGAGAATTTATTAAAAACATTTATTTGTTGTAATGTACATTTTTTTAATGTATATTTTATTTGATAAAGTGATTTATGTTAACAGATGTATTAATTTTTATGTAAATGACTGATGATATTTATTACATTAACGAAATTGTAAAAATCATTTTCATTTTATATAAACTTTTGATTCAATTTAATTTTATAATAATAAAAAAAATATAAAGAGAAAGTTAACAAAATTTTATCTCAGAGTATCGCCATCAGAAGCGATACCTTATTCCAATAAAATATATATGTTAAATTAAATAAAATTTCAATAATTATATCTGAATCCCCACGTGTAAAGCAAATGTTCCATAAGGGTTATTGCAGTCACAATTCGCAATTTTATTACCACTATATTGTGAATGCGGCGAAATGATCACTCTTTCAGGTGCAGTATATTCTCATTTGTATTCGACTTTGAGAGAAGGCCACTATAGGCAAATTATTCCAAAATTGGAAATTAATATATTATAAAGGTAAAATAAAGACACAAATATTCAAAATTGGGAATTAATATATTATAAAGGTAAAATAAAAAAGATAAATATTCCAAAATTGGAAATTAATATATTATAAAGGTAAAATAAAAAAGATGAATATTCCAAAATTGGAAATTAATATATTATAAAGGTAAAATAAAAGAGATGAATATTCCAAAATTGGAAATTAATATATTATAAAGGTAAAATAAAAAAGGAGGAATATTCCAAAATTGGGAATTAATATATTATAAAGGTAAAATAAAAAATAGATAAATATTCCAAAATTGGGAATTAATATTATTAAGATAAAATAAAATAATAAATATTTAAAAAAGGGACTTTCATAAAGGATCTTATTCGATATTGGTTTTGTTGGGAGGAGGTTTTCAAGTGAATATTATTATTAAAGTAATAGCGGAATAAAATATATGCATCAAATTATTCGAAATCTTTACCTAACCTACTATATTATCTATGACATTATTCATTGGTATTCTTTCAAAGAAATGAAATTCCTATAAAAACCATTTTTTAGTAAATATATTGTATACGTTATGTTTACTTCGCTAAAAAAAAATTTAATTTAAATCCTTATATAAAATTATTCAAGAATATAAGGAAATTATTCCAGGATATTCAAATAATGTTTGTGAAATCATATTCGAAATTATATTAAATGATTTACAGATAATAATGGGGAGATGTGTATGAAAATTTTGAGTATAAATTGTTTACATTATATTCTGTATTCGAATTGGAGAAAATTATGATGAAATATTTAAAAAAATATATTCTATTCTTTTCAAATTGGGGAAATATAAATTTTCGGTATTACAAAGAAATTGTAGCCGGAGAAATTATATAATATTTTTATTCTTATTCGTGAGACGACTAAAACGGCGTCCTCCTTTGGACAAAAAAAACATTTCTTTATTCTTATTCGTGAGACGAATCAAACGGCGTCCTCCTATGGACATAAGGCCGAATTTCTTAATTCTTATTATAAAGTCGATCAAGATAATTTATTTCGGCGAAAATTTTATAGACACCAAAATAAGCGGAATGTTTAAATATATAGTTTGGAGCAGGGGTTCGAACCGAACCGCTAAACCGGAATGAACCGTTATGATTTTCTGAACCGTAACCTTAACCGAACCGTTATAAAGAAAATATAAAAAGAGCGAACCGAACCGTTATAAATATTTAACCGGTTCAAAACGGTTTTAAAAAATAATTAATTTTAAATTATTAATCTAAATTTTAATTTTCCTTGGGGGAAGTTTTTAAATTGGTGATTTCTTTTCAAATTAAATATTTTTATATTATCAACATTATATATCAATTAATACCAAGTTTTTTGTTTTTTTTCTTTAAATACTTATTTTATTAGAGATTAGGCTAATTATCTGTTAATTAGATAAGATATTTAAAATCACACATAATTATTCTTGGCTAAATTAACAAGTTTATATATATAAGTTATTAATAAGCTTTTATAATAATACTTGCTAATAATTTAGGAAAAAATTAAATAAATCTACTATTAATAACTAACATCTAATAGAAATCAAGTACATTTTACATTCATTTTTATATTATATGGTTTATTTTTTATCTCATTATAAAAACTTGGATCATTGAATTTAAATGACAATAAATAAAATGGTCAGCAATATTTTAATGATATGATAATTTTTTATTTATAATCATATTGTTTTTTTAAATTCAGAATTTCATTTAAGTCATTATAAATTATTTATTATTAAAATAATATGTTTAACATTTGAAGAAAGAGAGATCGCCAGAAAACATCTTTGTAAAACTTGGAACTTGATACATGGTCTAAATAATCAGAATATTGAAATTCTAAATACTATGCCTACGTGTTCGTATTCGAAAGATAATTTAGATGATGATTTTGAAGATTTATTAAAGTCGCATAAAAGTCTTAATAAGAATAATTCTCAGGGCATAGAAAATTATAATAAATGTATAGAAATATAATATATAATTCGGTCATTTGATAATATAGAGAGATTAGAAAAAGATACTAATCTTTTGAATTATTGGGAAAATGTAAAGAATAGTATGCCAGAACTTTATAAGTTAGCTATAAGTGTGCTAGCAGTTCCAGTTATGCAGGTATTCGTAGAAAGAGCATTTTCTAGCCTTAAGTTTATACTCTCTGCGCAGGGGACTAAACTAAATCCTGAAATATTATAAAATATTTTAGTCATCCGTTCTAATTCTCTTTTTAAACATAAATAGTATACCTTTTATTATATTTATGTGTTATTTTATTCATCATTGTATTTACTCATGTTTGTTTTTATCTTATTTATTTATGAAATAAAAAAATTTAATTTACGTAATTTATATTTACTAAGTTTAATAAAAATATCTATTAGATTATCATGGTTAAATTAAATAAGGAATTATAAATTGAAAAGATTTTTCTCTAAAATTAATATATACATGGTTAATGATTAATTTTTTTAAAAATCAAATTTATAAAAACCGGAACAACCGAAATGAACCGTTATAAATTATAAACCGAACCGATATGAATTTTTTTAAAAAAACCGAAATGGAACAAAACCTTTATAAAATTTTAAACTAAAAACCGGAACAAATCGAACCGTTATGCTTAACGGTTCGAAACCCTGGTTTGGAGTAAATGAAAAACGTCAGATGTGTATTTATATTTCGTATATTATATTATCAATCACCCCTAACACTTGGATTTAGTAATGGGTGGCGTGTTGTAATGTACATTTTTTTAATGTATATTTTATTTGATAAAGTGATTTATTTTAACAGATGTATTAATTTTTATGTAAATGACTGATGATATTTATTACATTAACGAAATTGTAAAAATCACTTTTTCATTTTATATAAACTTTTGATTCAATTTAATTTTATAATAATAAAAAAAATATAAAGAGAAAGTTAACAAAATTTTATCTCAGAGTATCGCCATCAGAGGCGATACTCTTATTCCAATAAAATATTTCATATGACATTTTCATATTTATCAAATATGAAATGAATAAACCTTCATAAATTGAATAAAAGAATCTACATCGTTTTATAATTAATGGGGATTCAGATATAATTATTGAAATTTTATTTAATTTAACATATATATTTTATTGGAATAAGAGTATCGCCTCTGATGGCGATACTCTGAGATAAAATTTTGTTAACTTTCTCTTTATATTTTTTTTATTATTATAAAATTAAATTGAATCAAAAGTTTATATAAAATGAAAAAGTGATTTTTACAATTTCGTTAATGTAATAAATATCATCAGTCATTTACATAAAAATTAATACATCTGTTAAAATAAATCACTTTATCAAATAAAATATACATCAAAAAAATGTACATTACAACAGTTTTGTCCTTGCTCGAAAATTGAGATATGTTATTTTTCTTTAATCCATCCTTTACTTACTCGTCAATAAAAGGATATCTCGAAATTAACAGTAATTGCATTATCATTTATAGAGTTTTCAATGCATTTTTTCATCAATAACGATATAAGTTTATTTTTTATAAGTTCATTCTGAGGAAGTTTTATCTATGGCCATTGAAGCTTGAATATTGGATGTATAATTGCAGAAAGAACATATTGATCTTCATATATATGTTCAAATCTTTAAAAAAAAATAAAATATATGTAATTAATTTGATAGTGATAGGTTTAATATTTTTATTAATCCCATTTAATAATGCATCTATCAATAGTTGGCCATAATTTAGACCGCTACATTTTTTAATTTTAAAATAACTATCGTTATTGTTGGGGTCAAATAACCTAAATGCATTTTTTTTCAAATTTAATGATTTACTTAGTTATATTATATTATATAAAATAATTAATATTATAAGATTTTGAAACTGATATAATACTTTTTGGGCACATTTTATATTTGGTAAGTATTGAATTAGTTCCTTCAATATAGGATGTTGCTGTAAAATATTTATCATATTTGGGTCATGGTAATATTAATGTGATTTTGAATTTTCTGATTCAGATAATGATGATGAAATAATAATTCCATGCTTATGCTAATCTATTAATTTAAAATATAAACAATGTAATAAACATAATAATGGTGTGTTAAAAAAAATTGAAATGTGAAAAGGAAAAATTGTTGATTATAAAATATAAGACATTTTTCTTTAAAAATTTGGATTATTATTAAATTTTTCAAATAAATAAAAATAAAAGGTGTTTTTAAAATTGAACGAACGTTAAATTCGAACGCGTTCGTCATAAAAAGGGAAAAGTTCGTCAAAAATAAAAGGAACGCCGTTCACCATTTTTTCAAAAAAACGAACTTCGTTCACGAACGCGTTCGTTTTCGTTTACAACACTACCAAATTTATAATAAACACAAAAAAAAAAAATCATATTAAGATATTTTTTTAATAAAAGAAAATCATCAAACCTTAAAGTCATTAAAAAAAATTCAGAACAAAAATTTAATAATTTTCAGTCTCGTTTGCTGCAATTTTTTATTAAATGTCTGACCCCATTTTAGTCCCTCTAACCTCTCCTGTATGTATATAGATATTTTCAAACTAAAAACTCACTCCAAAAAGTAGGTATTCAATTATTTATATAAGACATATAAATATACATAAACTGCTCACTCATCATTTATTCTGTGAAAATCGTGAAGGTATACTCGGCCTTCCATCTTTGAATGAAAACGTTTTATTGTGTTTTATTAATTCGCCTATGAATTTAACATAATAGTTATAGCTATACATGTAAGCCCCCCATAAAAATTTGTAATAGTAAACTTCAAAAAATGGGATAACAAAATAAAAGACAGAATTGAATATATATGTTAAAAAAATATATATTATGTATGTTATGTCATACTCGTAGCATTGAGAAGCGATGGGAAAGTTCCCCAAAAAGAAAAAACAGTTCCCTAGTTTTTTTAAGGCTCGCTTCTTTTCCATGACATCGTTCATCTTGATGGCAACATGCAATTTCTAATTTTTTTATTAAATTTAAAAATCAAAATAAAGCAGTGGCGTATTTAAGGGACTTGTTTTGCACGAAGTAAAAAAAAGCAAATTTTCCAAAAAAGGCAATATTTCGATTTTGAATTATAATTAGTAAAACTCTTTAACGGTGACCCAAGTTGGTTATAAAGATAATTTAATGAGTTAATATCAGGATTCAAACCTAACCCGAACCCGGAGAAGAAAACCCGGATTTTTGAAAAAAAAATCTGAACATGAACTGAACCTGAACTCGTTTATAAAATTTCTAAAACCCAAACCGTCGGGAATATTTTTGAACCCGGGTTCAGTGAATATTGTTTAAAATCATATATTAAAATATTTATAAAAATGTAAATACATATTAATAATTAAATGAGATTTTTTTAATATTTTCAATTTATTTATAAACGGTAGAAATCCTTAAGATTTACATATTACTTAATGATGATGAATAGATGTGTGCGAAAAGGCGTCTTGCTAATTTGGAGAGTAGGATTAAACCCATATCCACGCCCATTTTATCTGATGATAATAGTTCGGATGAAGTTATTGAACAAGGTGATTTAGAGAAATTGATACAACTTAAAGAAAGGAAGAAAATACTCTTAAAAGAAGGTCAACGTTGCAGAGAAAAGTATTGGAACGATAATGATAGAATTTGGCGATTTTAAAAGATTGGATAAAGGAAAATATTTTGCATTTTTGGGAGTCTGCTGCTAAGCTGCAGCACCCTGATTTATATATTTAATTCAAAATCTTATTTTCTGCAACCCAAGTTAATATATCATATTTAATATTAGCGTTGAAAGATCTTTTTCACATTTAAAATTCATTCTCTTACTGCATACATCGAGGATGAGCGAACAATTCTTGGAAGATATTATGCTAATAGGTCTAAATAAAAATTTTTCATTCTTTATACTAAATTTATGTCTAGTGTTTTAATTATGATTTATTTACAGAATTTTATTTTTATCAATTCAAAAATTCCTTAACCCTAGCTGAACCCGAAGCCATCCGGGTTCCAAAATATTCTCCTAAACCAAACCCACTTAATTTTTTATCTTGAACCTAACCCAAATCGAACCGGGCTAAAAATTTTCCGAGTTCGCATCCCTGATTAATAAACATATTTACAACTAATTAATTTAAACGTTTTATTAAAATATGAAATAAAAAAATGGTGATCTCAACAAATTTGATCTACCGTTATTTCCAAACATAACGTTCCAAAGAGTTTGTTTATTTTTTTTATTAACGATTAAATGGAATCTAAAATCTCAAATCTAACGTTTTTTTAAAAAATATTATACTATATAAAAAAATTAATTCGGCAAATTATTATCATGTTTGGAAATAAAAGAAAATCACTTGAAACATGCCTCCAAAACCGTTACGAAAAAACGTTGTTTGGAAATGACCTATTAGTTAAGTTATACAATATGAAATTGAAATTGCATAATTAAAATTTTATAATAACAAAAAAACATTTACAAAACATATCTCAGATTAAATATAATCATTTTATTCCTATTATGCAAACACAATTAATAATCAGACGATAAAAATAATTTAAAAAAATATTTATTTAAAAAAGATTTTAATTAATAAAATAAGATACCAATTAGTGTTGTTAACTGGCTCAATTTTTAAAAACGGTTAACCTAATATTTTGGCCAAATATATTATGCATATCTGAAGATTTGCTAGAAGGTAGAAAGGTTTGGACATCTATTAACGAAATCTCGAGGCTTGCGAAATATATTTTCGTTAAAATATTGTGTTAGCCTTTTAAAGATCGAGCCATTTAACAACAGAAATACCAATAAACTATATCAAAATAAAATATATTTTTTAAAAAAGATAATTTAATAATAAAAACGTATGGAGGTGCCTATGTGATTTATATATTTCAATTGAAATCCGTTGCTGTTGGTAAAAACGTTCCTGAAGATCACCTGAGATTAAGCATATTTTTGGTCAAATGTTTTGAAGAAATCGTGGGCTCAGAATACGAAAGCAACGATTGCGTCGGGAACTATGAGGGATCAAAGTGATATTAGGAATGTTACTATATATTTTTTCCCAATTTCCGCTTCAGCCAAGAATGCTAAAGGATGGTGCAAAACGATCAACGCATGTGCAATCCCAGGCTAGAGGGATTCAGTTATCCGACCTAATATTGTTCCGAAATTAAGTCATATGAGTTCCAACATTGGTAGAATATTGGCTGAGCAGAGAGCTCTAGCAATAATCAAATTTATGTTTTGACGTGGATAGTGACCTCTTGAGAAGCGGTAGTGAAGAAAGTGATGGCCTATGTCGACAGAGAGCTGATATAGAGTTTGCAGGGTGAGTGTGACAATATCACAACCTAAACGAAAGCCCATTCCTGTCCGAATTCTTTGATGGAAAGAAGTAGACCAATGTTGGAGTTAGGGATAATCTCGAGCTATTCATAACCTGAGTTGAAATATTTAATTGTTGAAGAATCATTACTTTGATTTATTGAGTAGGTGATATCAGAAAGGTCCTTCAAAACAGCGTCAAATAAATTCAACGGAATGTTGGTTAAGAATAAGTTCTTGTCTTGTTGTCTGGAGGGTAAAAGCAAGGGAACATTTGTGCCGTTTGACTTCTATAGCCAACCCCAGGTGGGGATCTGTAGTGATGGTAAAAGTGTTGATAACTGTTTGACTTTTGGCGTATAACGAGAGAAAAGCAGCAATACTCAGTGAGGCAAATGATCGAAAGCCTATACCCCCAAATTTGCTTGGGAGAGCAGCTTGCATCCAGCAACTGGGCGAGAATTTGAGGTTGAGTATAGATATAAGGGAGATTTTAACTTTAAGTTCCAACTCCAATAATAATAACATGTCTGGGAATTAGAATAGAGGAGCAGAATGAAAGGCATGCAATATTTTTGGAACGTATAGGTTTATGAGAAAAAAATTGGTTAGATTAGATAGTAGAAACCCATGGATTTTCTGAAGTCGGTCAAATTTAATCAAAAGTCCTCACTAACTTTGGATATTGCTGCTTTGCCTTCAATACGTGAGCCTAGATGAGTAAAGCTAGATTTTCAACTAAAGAAACATTTTCTGGGATGGGATATAAATAAGTGGGCATATAAAATCACATTTTTAATGATTGAGGGTAAGCCCGGTGATTGAAGTGAGATTAAAAATGATAGATAATTTTTTTAGCTAATTCATCGTATGGTCCTGCAACTGTCTCGTCATCTAAGTACTGTGTTAAAAAGGACTTTGCATTTATTGTTTTTTATGATGATGCGAATGGCCACACATTTTTGTATACCTTTTGTCAAGATTCTCTGGTTGTTTCATGAAACTTTAAATAGGACAGTTAGCCATAGCAGGCAGATATATAATAAACAATTAACATTACAAACTATTTATTTACAAATGGTAAATTTTCATCCTTGATTCTTTTTAATTTTTCTAACACGTAATATTAGTAATTATCATAATGGGCCACTCATTCATTTAAGGATATAGGGGGAGATGGAGGTTTTATTAGTATGAATTTTATTTTGGACGAAAGTACCTAATTTTGCCATGAGCTTTTAAGTGATGCTTAATATAGTATATAGGGTGGCTCAAAAAACGTCACGTTTTGAAATCTTTGGAACTCTCAAAAGCGTCTGGTTTTTTTTGGAAAATTGAGATAAAAGTATGCTAAAATTTTACTCATGACCCTAAAAAAATCAATAAAGTGTTATATGGATTCCTATTATGTTTGACTATTTTTATTCAATTTTACTTTGATCATACATTGAAATGTAAAACACAAACATACTTTGAGATCTATATTTGAATTCAATTATCAAAATACATAACTATAATATATGAAACATAATGTTTCAAGAATTTTTGCAGGTTATAACATATTTTCATAAACTAAAGTCCCTAATTCGTTCCACCCTTGATGATACCGTAGATTTAGATCAAATTTGGCATATGAATCCCGTAATTTAAAGTCGCTTTAATCTTGTTGAACTGCACTAATAATTTATATTTTGCGTGCATTCCAATTTTTTTCATCAAGACATAATTTTATCAGTATATGAATCTTCGTATAGCATTTATAACTTAAAAAAATTATCGTTTTATTTGGGGCGGGTTGGGGGGGGGGGATTAATATAAGGCATTTATAATAATAAAATTTGTTGTTTAATAACCCAAATATTTTATGTAGGAAAAAAATTTTAAAAAAAGGTAATCCAACACAATGGGAACCCATTTAGCCCATTTTTGAAGAAGAAAAAATTGAGGGTCATGAATTCTTTTTCAAGATTTACCATTTTTAATTTTAATTTTTTAAAACTGACTCGATAAAATTCTAAAGAATTTTGAGGATATTCGACGATATATTTTTCAAATAAATTTTAAAAAATACATGATTGTCTAAAATTAGCTAGTAGGTCACAATTTCCTCAAAATTACGATTGTGAAAATTAAAAAATCACATATATAATCGTTAGAACCCTAATCTATGAAGTATATCCCTGAATTTTCTATATCCTTAGGATATATAAAAGATATTTTAGATTAATAAATATTTATTAGCACTTGTTCAAACTAAATAAAATGTAGATATGCTATAAATAATAGGACCAAAGTTCCTGGGATCGACCATCAGCATGCATTCTAATTTTATAAATATTATTTAAATCATACTCGCTTTATACTTAAAAAATATAAGATTAAAAAATAGGGTTTAAACATTCCTAAAATCTATTTATTGAAATTTTTTAAGTTACTTAAAACCTAAACATATAGTTGGCATTTATATTTTTGTGGTACTTTTGGCATGCGAAAACCAGAGCTGTTAAAAAATATTTCTTAAATATATCTAAATATAGGTACATTGTCTAAAAATGTATCTGTATTTAGAGATGGATGCATTCTTTAAAAAAATATCTAGATAAATATACTACTTTCCCTTGGATACATTCTTACTAT